CGGAGATGATGACAGTATAATTTTCAAAAACTTTTACTTTGAAGTCTCTTCTCAAAGGTTTTTGTTTTTAGCCCCCCATAACACCATTGTTGTTAAATGAATGGCCAAAACGCATAAAAAGTTTTCAGTTTTTAGTTAAAAGAAAATGGTGTAGGGTTAACCATATCTGTATTAGGAGACTTTTTGATTAGGTTTCTAGTTAGGGTGAGTAGAATAAGTTGACATTTACTTGCATATTTATAGTTAATGTAATACTGTATCTGGAATAGCAGATATTAAGCAGAAAGTCTACTAATAATTTAGTATATATAGTGGACTATTGAAATAATGCATTCCCAAAATAATAAAATAAATCAGTTTAAAAAAGGAACAAGATTTAGGCTACCAAATCTTTCTAGTTTCCATTGACAAAACCGGGGGCAATTGGCAAAATTCACTGAACTGTATTTGACTGAATAGCATTGAGCTAGGCTGATGATCTAAGATGAGAGGTGTATCAGCTGGTTATTCCACTAAGGGTATAAATCGGTAATGGCGTCACATGGGTCAGTTGTTATACCACTGGGGCAAAGTCTCCATCTTTGCAGGGTTTCGCAAATTGCTGGGAAATCAAATGCTAAGCTAAAGCAACTTCTCTCAAATTAACCTATCACAAATGGTCCCTTGACATGCCTGTGCAAGAAACTCAATATCAAAGGGCAAATCATTCCCTTACACTTTCTCTAAAGGTCATTTGGCACAGCTGATAATTTGGCTATAATCATGATGTATAGCCAAGGCAGCAAATTGTAAACATAGCATATTTTTTGAGGCAGGCGGCTTCATCAATTCACTTGTGCTCTAGCACAACACTTTGCTAAAAATTTATTTAGACTTTCTTTTCTTTTTGGAAATTTATGGTACAACTTTTATTGCAAACATATATCCATGACGCACACCTTAGTAACTGTGGGACAAAAGGAGACCGTTCGCACAACAACAACACTAATATAATAGACATTGAATCATCCGGTATGTCAGAGAAAAAAACATCCCCACGTTCAAGTGAGTCGAATCATGAGTCAAGAAGTGTCCCCTTAACAAGATTTAGAGGGATTTTAGTCGTTCCCTATGACATGGTCTATGTCGTCTATGTCCTTGTTCTATCAGCCTCTTGATATTGAATCACAGTGTGACACGACATTACAAAATATCTAGCATGCGCCAGAGTACAACAAGCATGACGTGACGAACAACCAGGAGGCACAAGATTGATGTCTTCAAAACAAACCAACTGTCCTTACAAGATACTGTTCGTCTTACACTATTACATTAATAGAAGCCTGGCTTTCCCACTACCATTTATCAAGAATAAAGCTTTTTGGAAAGAACAAGCCACATTTTAAACCCAGTCAATGTGAAAAGAAATCAGAAAACTGAATAAGATAACATCTACCACAGCTCCACAAACCACAAGGTTGTGTCAGATGCAATTGGGACATGCAGCAAAAAAAAAATAAAAAAAAAATAAATAAGTAGCTTTTTTTCCTTCTTGATACAGTATATACAGGGAGCCTGACAGATTGTGCATCTGCCTCTTCACAGTAAATGTTCAGAAAAGTGCACACAAGGTGGTACATCTGGCAGATCTAGCATTAGGCTAGTGTTATTAGCAAATATGCTAACTGTCCAACATTACCCAGAAATAATAATAATAATAAAAAAAAAACTCCGAAATATAAATTTCAGATCTGAAACACACAAGGAGGCAAAAGGGGGACATAAAATGTGTAATCAGCTTTAACACCAATATTTCTAACAGTAAATCAGCACAATTTTGCAAGTTTTTCAGTTAGAATTTGTCAATTACTTTACCAATTAGCTAACTAAAATTAGCCTATACATGCATGTAAAAAGCCAGATGTCACACATTTTAGACAAGTATGCTGATAAAATTTACATAAGTAATATGGCAATTAGCACAACTATGTTTCCACATCTCCTATTTTAAGTTGGCTGACAACATCTAAAAAAATATTACATCTTTTACTTGTTCTTATATTTGAATAAACTATTAAGACACTACCCTGATTGCACACGTAAGCTAGATGTATATTTGATGCACATGTTTGGATTAGTTTGCTAAAAAAAACAACAAATCCTGTCAGATGTTAAAGACATTTAGAAAATATCTCTGATATGTTTATGATGCAGAATGTATGTAAAGCTGCATATTAAAAGTTATCAGATGCTCGTACACAACAAATGAGGTGTTCTTTAACATGACTTGGAGATGTGCGTGTGCTATCTGGCATAGCTCTACCCAATAATGTTTTTGTACATCTGTAGTGAAGGTGTCAATGCCTTATACAGTAAAAGCATGTATGCTATCAGATAAGTAAATAGATTAAATTTCCTATATAAATATACTTCTTATATGTGGTTTTATTTATGATTTGTACTACTTGTGTCAACAATCAATACCAACACCAACTGATCTAGCCCTACCATAGCTCACATGAAATGTAAGGAGCCTATTGAATATGGCTATTTGAAGGGCCCTTATGAGATACAAAACACGTAAAGCCTCATTCAGAAAGATATAGCATATGTGGTGATGTAACTAATGAAAAGATTGTCATGCATTCATTTATTCTTAACACATCCTTAATGGGAGAGAGAGAGAAAAAAAACTATACTTATTTGGAATGTCAAAATAAACAAGAGCCCTATCCATTCTTTTACTAATAAATCCACTTAAAACTGATGAGTGACATTTTATGTTGTGTGTCTGAAGCTATTGATCAACAGACACATTAATGGTTCATGGAAGTGAAATGCAAAGTTAATGTTTTTTTGCTTAATATAGCTTGCTGTCACATAAGTACATACTTTACGCAACTTCTTAGTTTATCTACAAACATGTCTCTATTTAAATTCACATGTAAACCTAGCACTTTCTAAGTGAATGCAAAAGATTTTTTGGTAACACCTTCTATGAAGATCATGCTTATAATGACTTATAGCTCCTTTATACTTATTTATAAGTATGTATTACTATTTTATAAATACATTTATAAAGACTCATTAAGACCTTAAGCATAATAAGCTCTATTTAACACAGTCTCATCCCAAGAAGTCATATAACTGACGTAATAAGCACAGTTACATTTAGATTATTTTTATAATTACTTATAGGCAACACAAACTCACCACTTTGCTTCAGAAGGCCTTTATTAACCCCCTGGAGCCATTTGGAGTCCATTTACGATGGATGGATGCAAGTTTTTGAGCCATTATAAAACTGGGAATAACCAGGATATATTTTTTTTTTAATAAAACTCTGATTGTATTAGTCTGAAAGAAGAAAGTAAGTCAAATACACCTAAGATGGCTTGAGGGTGAGTAAATCATGGGTTATTTTTCCTTTGAAAATGAACTCCTTGAAGTAAAGTCAAAACATAGAATGCTATTTTTCCTAAAACAAATGTAAAGAAATCATGAAGATGAATAGATTTTAGTATAATGAATCATGAAGCTCATTATACATTTTAAGTTGTTTACTTGTAAATGTAATTAATGTTTAATGTACACTAATTCCAACAATTTCTTTAAGTATAATTTCAAACTGCTATAGAGTGCCGAAGTTACGACGTCACTCTGCAGGCCAAAACGCCGAAGTGAGTTCTAAAGCCTATGGGATTTTTGAATGGGTTTTTGCTAAATCGCCTGAAATAAGGTCTGTGGTGAACAAAGCCTCTAAATATTTTCATGTTTATAACACACTGTTATAACCTGCTTATGGTTTTTTAAACTTTATTGTGTCTGATTGTGTTTTTTAAAATCTTTATATCGGCTTCAAAATGTATAAATTTTGGATTGACTTGTAAAGATTATCTTGCTAGACAAAACGTGTAAGGGTCACAACCCTTTGTTAAACACAGATGTTATTTTTTTTGCGATTTTCCAAAAGTCTATGGGGAAAATGCATTGCTTTTCGACCGAGGGAACCCATGCGCCGCTAGCTTCCGAATTGTCCTACAAAGTGACGTCATCACTTCGGCACTCTATAAGCAATACCATGCATTTGGCTGAGGAGATATAGATTTGAACAAATACAAATTACCATTCATAACCTCCAATGCTTTAATTTGTTATTAAAGACAAGATAATTGGTAACTAATGGGTACCGCAAACGGGTGTCTCTGGATCTATATTTGATAATCTATAAATTTGTGTATAATTGATTATGAGCATGCGGAATGAAAAAGCAAATGCATGACTTATAAGGAATGTCATCTATAACTGGTCTTAATGAGCCTTTATAAATATATTTATAAAATAGTAATACCTATAAATAAGTATACACTGGGCTATAACTCATTATAAGCATGGTCTTCGTAGAAAGCTTTACCGATTTTTCTTCTAAAACCTGATGCATAATACAAATCGAACACACTATGTAAAAATAATTTAAATCATAAGGAAACAATGGCGATAACAGCACAAATGCACAACCATGATGAGTGTATGTACTAAGATATGCTTAAATTAACATGGCATTGAAACTACTTCTACATTTTGACAGGAAAATTACAATTGGCTTGCAGTTGCCAAATGAACAAGATTTTATGATTCAGATAACCATAAAAATAGTGCATTCACAAACATGAATTCTGTATTGTACAATACATAAATCAAGAAATCATCAGTGTAAAGATCAAAACCGCCAACACTTCAGTGTGAGGTTATGGAAATGCATGTGTGGCACTGGCCCACATTGAAAATCTGGTCTTGATATTCTTCACAACTAAAATGCTTTATAGCCTGTTACAGTGTCATAATTCACACACTACTGATCCCGGCTGCTCATATTGGCCATAAACAAAGAACCGTCGGCTGGCGGAGAGCCTTGCGGTTAACCATCAACTCTAAATCAACTTGCATGCCGGGCGACTCCCGAGTTTAACACCAACCACCTGTGAGAGATCAATCAACACTGACGTTTTTCAGTAGGCAGGCATAAGCTTGAAGACAATGTCAGCATGTGCCAAACTATTCATCTCTATGGCGAGTGATTAAAAAGGCACACAGTTTCTTTATCTTGGAGCCTGCTCAGGCTGTTTAAACAATAGAGTCACTGGACAGGTAAATGCACAGATATCGACCCATGGGGATGAGAACGCAACTCTAGATGATATTACTCTGGGTCTGCGGAGTGTCAAAGGACAGATGGTTAATAATGATGCGCCTACAGACATCACTACTGGCTGCTGAAAGGCTACGGGTATACTTGTCATGGCGACCGACAGCCAAATGACTGAAGTTTTCTTCCTGATGATAGACAGCGTGTGAAGTGAGGGAGGGTTTAGTAATGATCATCCATTTATAAAGTCATGATATTAATTATTCATACTTTGCATCATGCAACACAGGAAATGTCGGATAAAAATTAGGAAAACTACTGACCAGGGTTGTGTGTCTATGTGGCTGTTTGGCACTACTACAAGATGTAAGGGGGGGGATGATGGGAATTTTGGAAAACGAAAACAGTAGCATGGTCGACTGGCAGTTTTTCTCTTTTGGCAGTCGCCATGTTCATTTCTGTGGGCTGGACCGGTTAATGGTCGGCTTTCTGTTGACATACGTGGCCCAGTAACCCAGGTTGAAGATGAAGAAGAGCACTGGAAAGATGATACGAGAGATCTTGTCCACTTTGCTGACGCGATTGTATGACTTTTTTCCACCTTCCGGAACATATTCACCATCCATTTTGGGTAGTCGGATGTCTCGGGCCGACTGTGACGGGGTGGATGTGGATGTGGATGTCGCACTCTTGGAGATGGTTGTCAATCCGGGATCTTTGGCAACGCCCATGCTGTAGGTTCCCACAATGTTGAAAGTGTTGTTGGTCTTCTTGGAAAAAGATGACGACTCTCGCCTCTGTGGAAATGTCAATAGGGAAAATGAGGATGAGCAAATGCAAAAGTGAAACATTCATCTTACCAATGGAGCTTTTGGTACATCTGTTTTTTTCTTAATGCTCAAAATCTGACACTAAAATGTGATCTAAAAGGTAAATTCAACTTGTGATGAAATATCACATTCCAAAGAATTAAATCAAATCAATTTGCAATGATGCATAAGCCAGACAAGCCAGGATATGGCATACACAGGAGGAAATGTACTATGAATAAATTATGGGCACTTATAATGGTGCAATCTGCATTGTTTTAGCACTCATTTTACTAAAGGAATTTTGCAAATCAGGTGCACTAGTGCAAACATGTCCACAGAATTTCTGCTGAATGTATTTTACACCTTGCAATTCCCATATCTTAAGTGGAAGATGCAGCACATTACTTCCAATGCATTTGGTACTTGGTATTCAGTGAGAAAGACACGTTTTAACACTCAAACTGAAACTGCCATATTAAGCATTTGTTGTTGTCATATATATATATATATATATATGTGTGTGTGTGTGTGTGTGTGTGTGTGTGAGTGTGTGTGTGTGTGTGTGTGTGTCAATGACAAAGGCATAATAGGGCAGTTTAAATCTCTTTCTTCCTTACTTGTTTGCTATTGCTTTTCTGAAAATGTATCCATGCCTTAAACTTAAACTTGGAAGTGCTCATCAAGTTCTTTAATCAGTCAAATATATGGGTACTGTTATGACCGGAGGCTGATAAAGGAATTGCTTTTGAAAGTTTTTTATTTTTCTATTTTTTTTATTCTTTTATTCAATACCCAAGGTTCCTGTGAAAAACATCTTTTTTCCCCTCTTAAAATTAAGGACGTCCACAAAACTGCCAGGGATTGTCAAAATGTAAAAAAAATAAAAATAGTTTGAGTAAAGTTCATGAGTAAGAATGAAAGGAAAATAGCATTAAACAAGTTTCACCCACAGTTTATACTGGTACATGAATTAGAGCAAGCGAAGAGATTTTTAAATTTCTCATTCTTAAACTCACTAAACAGTTGTGTCACTTTTGTGTGTGATATTTTGCTCTGTATTCACAAAGCACCCACAAGCCAGGTTAAACAGGTGCTACACTGGTATACACAGGTAAAACATTGTGCCATACATATATATATATATATATATATATATATATATATATATATATGTGCTGTATATTAAACTTAATATAGATTCTAATTTATTAACCAACATAATCCAAAGAACAATTTAGCACAGACTCTTTAATGCATTTGACACATTGCCTGATTAAAATGTGCAAAACATTTTTTTCTGTGCAATGATATTCCAAAGTAAAGATGAGACTCTCAGAGGAGGCTCGTTTTCCAGCTTGAGTGAGCTAAATGAATGGATGTGCATACCGAAATCCTCTGATATTTTTTTTTAAAAAAATCTCGTTTTAGACTTCTAATATGTTATGGCGCCGTTTTATACATAAACAATATTTATATTTATTATTTATATATAAACAATATAAATGTAAGCCAGAGGAGAACTGGCCCCCGACTGAGCCTGGGTTCTCCCAAGGTTTTTTTCTCCATCCAATCTGACGGAGTTTTGGTTCCTTGCCACTGTCGCCTTGCTTTTGGCTTGCTCAGTTGGGGTTATTTAGTGTTTAGCAATATTATTGATTTGTGTTGTACTACTTTCATGTTATCACTGTGAAGCTGCTTTGATACAATCTGTATTGTGAAAAGCGCTATATAAATAAATGTGACTTGACTTAATTCGTGACTTGCTCTATCCTCTGGGCTTCTGTGTTCGCCAATACGTCAAGCATCAGGTCAGGGGTTACTCTTTCGCCATAAATTGATGCGTACGGCCATCTGCCGGAAGCTAGTTATTTTAGTTTATAAAGTTTTAAATAAAGATATTTTTCTTACACAAACGCATCGCTTCGCTAGCAGAAGGTCTTTATTAACCCTGCAGAGCCACACGGAGTACTTTTCTGATGGATGGCGGCACTTTTTTGGGCTTTAAAACCTCGTCCTCCATTGTGCCATTATAAAGCTTGAAAGAGCCAGGGTATTTTCCATCTCCAATTGTGTTTGGGTGAAAGAAGAAAGTCATATACACCTAGGATGGCTTGAGTAAATCATGAGGTAATTTTCATTTCTGGGTGAACTATCCTTTTTAGTTACACACTGAGAATTTTGCTGCAGAAAATCACATTGGAGGATTTTGATGTAATTCTATCAGATGCTATAATCCTCTGTATAATAAATATGTGCAAACATTTTAATCTTTAGTTAGGTCTCTGAAGATCAGTTCAAAAAAACTGGAAATGTGGATTACATGAGTGTAATCCTCTGTGAAAAACTGATCATCTGTGATTTAATATGCAGAGTCAGCTTTATTGGACATGAGTGACTTTGATAAAAATAGGTTACCGAATTAGCATGTTTGACAGCTATCAGAATAAAGGTTAGTGGTGCTTACCCAAGCAAAACTCACTGGTATAGTGCTAGCTACGGGATTTTTAGAGCATGTTAAGGTATTCTGGTTTCTATAAACCAATACTTATTGTGAAAGGCAATATACAAATTAGAACTATTAACAATTGTTTTGATATAGTAATAATATTTTCCACAAAATACTTTGCTTAATTTTAGTACACAGTACAAAACAAAAATTGTAAAAAATACAATTATGGAAAAAAACGAAATACTTTTTTTCAAAGTTGTTTTATTTAATTTGTTTTGAATTTTACTCACAACTCTAGTATAATTACAAACAAAATCTGTAAAATTAACAACTTAATTTGAAGCATTATACTATAAATGACAAATTAGAGTAGTTCTTGTATTGTGCTATTGTACAAAGATCAAAGATCTAAGACTTTTTATTTGTACAAAAAAAGCCTATTTCTCTCTAACATTGTCCACAAATCTGTTAGAAAGCACTTCTTTGCCGAGATAATCCATCCACTTCACAGGTGTGGCATATAAAGAGGCTGATTAGACAGCATGATTATTGCACAGGTGTGCCTTAGGCTACTCACAATAAAAGGCCACTCTAAAATACGCAGTTTTATCACACAGCACAATGCCACAGATGTCGCAAGTTTTGAGGGAGCATGCAATTGATGGTCCACACCTCATACTTTTATCAGATTCTATCCACAAGTTTCCTACGCCCCATGAGGCCTTGCGTCAAAAGTGGGCGTGACTTCCGGTTGGAAGTAAACAAAGCGCGATTTGACATGCTTGACACTCGTTCATTCAACAGTTGACAGTCATTCAAGTTATAGCGATCCAAACTAGCTAACGATGTGGGAACACAACCTCAACGAAATTCAAAAGGGTGAAATAACAGTACCTTTACATCTGCAGTAGTTGATTGGGAGTATTATAATAACATTATTAATAATCAATACTCATCAAGGCATGGTGACAGACAGTTGTGCGAGCTGACAAACAATTAAAATAAAAAATACACACTTAGTCATTGTGCTTTGGAGTTTATTCAAAATTATAAATGAATGTGCTGCTTGAATACATTAACTGGCACATTTGGTATTCTGTCAACTCAGGCTTTGATCCTGAGTTTAGGTGTAACATCAGTAGCGAACAGCCAAACACATGCTGATAGATTTGATAGAATATTAAGAATTTAAACAAATGTACACAGGAAGATTCTTCGTCTTTTGTGAGGTGATGGAAACTACAGTCGTTGGCAGGATCACTCTGATTTCGTTTTCAGCTTATGTTCAAAACAATCCCGTTTAAGCCACTAAATTAGTTTAGTCCGGCTATACGTACAACCGCGAACAGCACATGTTGTCCCTGAGCTCCGTAACGACATCTCTCATAAAGATTTGCGTCTTTAAATAGTAAAATAATTCTCCGAAAAACAGCTAGCCTCTTCGCTAACTAACACACAAAATACCATTGGAATGCTACTTCCACCGCGTCACCGGAAGTTTCACCCACTTTATTTTTTACAGGAGCGCCCCTCGGAAACTTGTGGATAGCCTGGACATTCCTTCTACCATTCCTTCCAGGCACTCTAGTGCTCTCGTCCTAAGTGTGCTTGTGCAAAGCTTCGCAATGGGACAGGCAGGGCTCATCGTAGCATAGTGGGTACTCGTTCCCCAAAGTATCGTCATCAACGCAGTGTCTTGGCTGCACAGTCGTAACCCAAGACGATTTAGGGTTATTACCACGTTATTGCAAATACTATAATAAGTACCTAGTACATGGGAAGCAGGACTGTAAAAAAGTGCTACCTTTTACAGTTTTGAGTAACACATTACTTAAATTGTGTAATAAAGATAATTTGATCTAAAGTGAAAAGTAGGTACATGGAAAAGTGTAACGTATTCATACCCAACTGTATCGGTGCAGGACTTCTGGTATGGTGCACATGTGTACTGAATGCATTAGAACAATTTAGATTCCCGGTGAATTATGACAACGGATAAGGACATGGATAAGATAAAAGCAGTGCACAACAAATACAGCTTTGTAGCCCAACCACCAATAGTCGCAATAAGCTCTTTGTTCTGTTGCTTTTGATAAAAACGCGGTAGCATGGCGTGTGAGTGAATGCGATCATCTCTTCCTTGTTACAGAAACATAAATGAACATCGGAAGGTATGTTGAAAGATACAGTACAACTTATTGAAACGGATCATATCTCGTGTAAACGCTCAATCAGTGTTTCAATGATGGAAAAATATCAAGGTTGATATCAAATATCAAAGATGATCCACATCTTTTTAGTTTGCTAAAGAAATTAACTCGTTCACAAAATATATGTACGATATTAGCCTAATATTAATTTTACTGAACCTGTTAATGATATCTTGATTATTTACTGTAGGTTTAAATTAATCTATCATGAAAATGACAGCCACTGTGTATAAATGATTATATTTCAACAACGAATTGGAGTAAAAACATAATTTTATAAATAGATTTAGAAGTTAATACAAAAACTGATGTGCATCTTACATGTT